ATTAGGAGTGATAAAAACCCAACAAACTTAAGCCTCGTTCATTTTGCGGATTCGAGTTTTCAATTTGAGCTGAGATGTAACATTTTCTGAGAGCTTTTTACTGCAGCAGAAAAAGTTAGATGTGACATTTTCTGAGAGCTTTTTACTGTAGAAACTTAAAACTGAAAACTCGAATAGGTGAAATGAACGAGACCTTAATTAACACTCTCAATTTAACTCTTATATACCCGCCCATCTTGATTAAGAGATTAACTCAACCAATCTAACTCGACTATTAATTAGGTGGGTTTGAGTTGAGTTTTTCCTAACTCAACTTAACCCGAATTTACCATATATATATATATATATTTTTTTTTTTTCTACTCCATAACATATTGTATTTGTCTTATATTTTGCATTAATTACTTGACAATCTATTATGTTTCATGTAGTGTGAGTTTCTATTATTATTTATTTGTTGATTTATAATTCTGTATTTTTAAAATTGTTTTGTATATATGTTATGTTTTTGTTGGTTTATAATTGTACGAGACAATTTAGAGATTTACGTGACTAATAATATGATGAAAGTTACCTTTTTGCACATATTTCTTATTTTGCGTTAAATGGTTAATTTAAGGTTCGTTAGGTTCATGATTTAAATTATAATTTATGAATATCATTAAGGCATTTGAAATTTAAATTTTTTATAAAAGAAAAACATTATAACAGAATAAAAAACCATAGTTTAAACTATGACAAACCCTTGAAACACATGCACTATTAGTGTTTATGATAGTTTATTTTTTCGATGAGTATATAATCTTCAAATAAATAAATATTAGAACCCGGTTAGATCATTGATTTGAGTTTTTAATTTAAGTTGAGATGTGATTTTATATGAGAATTTTTTATTATAATAAAAATTAGATGTGATTGTTTTTGATAATTTTTTATTATAATAAAATTTAAATTTTAAACTTAGGAGACGTTTGGTAAGGGGATTCGTACTCTGATTCGAATCATGATTCATAATTCGCTACATTATTTTCTCTTATAAAAAAATACACGTAAATCGAAAATGATTCTAACCTCATAATTTTAATCAATGAACTAAACGTTTCATTAAATTAGTAAAATAAATTAATGAAATGAACAATATTAAACGTTTATTTCTTATATTCATTTATAATTCTAAATTATGATTTATAATTCTCTATAATATTTTTCTTTTATAAAAAATATACATAAAATAAAAATAATTTTAAATTATAATTATCAATACAACTTATTAAAAAAAAACCGCATATCGCAGCTGGAGTACATGAGCCGTACTAAGCCCACTTCGCGTGTATTGTTTTCCTTGGGCTGCGAGCTGTGAGTGGTCAAACACTCGAAAGTCTCTCCCTCGAAATCAGAAAAAGGTCCGAACCTCTCTAGAAGGTGTTTTTTTTTTCTTTCTTTTCTTTTGTTTTTTTAACTAAAGCTTTATTCTTCCACTGTTGTATCTTGTATGACATCCGTATCCTCTGCACCTTTACCAACAAACCAAACAAATAAAATAAAAATGTAGGGGTGAATTAGTAAATCCAGAAGAGGCAAACCAGGCTTTGTCTTTAATATATTAAAGAGATTTTTTAACACGCGTGACGTATTAATATGTTAAATTTTTAAATTTTACATAATTTTATATAAATTTAATAGATAAAAAATTTAATTTATTGATATGTTGACATATTAAAAAATGCTCATGATATATATTCCTTTTTATTTATTTAGAAAGGCAATATCAACAATAAAAGTAACTTTCAACATGAATACTCATAAATCATCAGACCGTTAAAATTATAATTCAACGAGTGTTTTAGCACATGAATACTATGATCTTGTTCAGTTCGTCAATTTAAATTTTTAATTTGAATTAAGATGTAACTTTATGTGATAACTTTTAACTGTAATAAAAAAGTTAAATGTGACTGTTTATGAGAGCTTTTAATTATAATAAAATTGAAATTAAAAACTCAAATAGGTAAAATAAATGAATACTTTGATTACTAGCTTCACGTCTTCAGTCCGGCCTCCTGAAGAAGGACGGGCAACGTTATTTTCTATTTTAACAGGGGCAACCCACCCATTTTTGAGTCTTCAAGTGGCCTAGGTACATCCAATTCCTTTATGCTATTTAAGAAACCTTGCCCTCCCTTTCTATTGTGAGCTTATGTTAAAAAAAAAGAAGAGAGAAATAGAGAAATAAGTCAAGACTTGAGATGAATTAAAATTAATAGACCAATGATTTACATAAGTTAATAAATATGCTAAATTACTATTTTTGTCCATAATTAGTCTGATTATGAACCATAACTTGATAAGTTATTATCCATAATTATTCATAACTTGTCTGATTATGAACTATAACTTGACAAGTTTATCTATAACTTATCTGATTATGAACCATAACTTGACACGTTATGATCTATTAATTTTTATAACTAAAAATTGACCTATATACTTTTTAAAATTTTTTATATTGACCTATTTTATATTATTTTTCAAAAAAGAAACAAAAAAAAAGTCCTACCGTAATTCCGTTCTCTCTCTCTCTCTCTTTTTATTTATTTTTTTTAAGGGCCATGGTATCCTGGCAGTCTCCTAATTTAGATTTTCAATTAGGATGAGCCGACAATTGTAAAAGCCGAATGCGAAATAATTGCGCACTCGGTTCTGCTAAAGTTCAGAAAAGATGGGGTCTTAGTGGAATTTGGAAGATTTTTGCTTTTTCTTTTGTAATTTTCTTTTGTTTTTTTGGATGGTTGTGGGTGGGCCCTTTTCTGCCTCGGAACAAAAGGTGGCCCACAAAAGGCTGGGGAAAGTGGATTGGGTAGGTCAAATTGGAGTTCGATTTCTAGTGCATGAGATAATTTCACATCTTTACACGAGTTTGTGCTAAACGTACCCCTTAGAATGCTTTTGATTCAAAAGCTAATCATCTTAAAAAAAAAAAAAAAAAAAATTATGAATGCCTTGCCTTCCAATAGGAAATTCAAGTTCAAGAACCCTTTTTTTTTTATTAAAGAAAGAACCCAAATATATTTTTAAATTATAGGTCTCATAATTATTTAACTTTTCTCTTGGTGACTATTTTTCGAGTTTTGTTAGAGACAACTTGAATATTCTTCAATAATACCATCTTATGATTCTTAAATTATATGTGTTTAAAATTAATCTCGTTTTTATTTTTTACATTTTTCGAGAAAAAAAACAAAAACGTTTTTAAAATGGTGTTTAGCATAATAAAGACAAAAAACATAAATGAAAACGATTTTTTAGTTTAGTGTAAAATGAGAGAGAAATGAAAAATGACTTTTAGTCATTTTTTATTTTGTTTGTTTTCATTTTCTCCTCTCTCGAGCAGAGAGAGAGAGAAAGAGAGACATTAATAGGTTTTTTACACTGAAAATAATCTCTTGATAAAACTACTAAACGCATTTTTAAAAATGATGCTGTCTGAGATTAAAAACGTTTTTATTTTCATTTTCATACAAAAAATAAAATCATTTTAGAACGAATTCTAAATGCGCATGATCCCTTTTTAAAAAAAAAAAGAAAGAACCCAAATATATTCTTAAATTATAGGTCTCATAATTATTTATGAAGAACCTTTCTCTTGGTGACTATTTTTCGAGTTTTGTTAGAGACAACTTGAATATTCTTCAATAATACCATCTTATGATAATTGAAAACCAACATTCCACCAACTTATTATATTTACTTCTTCAGTAATACCACCAACTTATAATAATCACTTTCTACTCAAGTTAGTTAGGCATGTGTTTGACTAATGCACATATAAGTACAATGTTATTCTAAAAGACAGAATTAAAGAAAAAAAAATCTAATAAGATTATGCATACATACATACATACATTTATGTAGCCCTTATACGTATGATTGTATATGTATATGTGTATATATACTTATAAAAGCAACAAAAGAGGAGAGAAGTTATTTTTAAAGTTGCGAAGTCGAAATTAGAAATAAAATAAAAGAAAAGAAAAGGATAATAAACAGATAAGAGAGAACAAAAAGTAAAGGGCGTATGAAGGACACACCTATACTTACCTGATTTTGTTTACCAAACAGGGAAGACACAAGGAAACTTCTTCATGTGTTTACATGTATATTTCATAGTAGCAAATAAAGAAAAAAAAAGGGAATTTTTGCAATAGAGAGAAAAGGAAAAAAAAAAAAGATAACGTTCTAAAATAATGATCAATAATTTAAAAATGACATATAAAATGTGTAAAAAAAAAAGAATGTTAACTGTAAGGTCCCGTTCATTTCACCAATTTGAATTTAGAATTCGAGTTTTGCTACAGTAAAAAATTATCAGAAACAATCGCATCTAATTTTTTTATTACAGTATAAAATTCTCACATAAAGTCATATCTCAACTCGAATCAACGAACTAAACTGAAATGCTTTTCACCCAATTATCTCATCTCACCAATTTATCTATTCCTATAAAATTTATTAGATTATTTTAGGAAAATAATTTCCTAAATATTTTAACATTTGGGCATTATTTGAGTTTTAACACGATCTAATAATAAACAAAATGTAAATTATCAATAAAAATTCGTAAAAACAAATTCTTAATTCTATTCATATTACTTTTCTGAAGAGAAAAAAAAGATAAATAGAAATTATATTAAATTACTATAATATACATGTACATGTGTATCGTGCATTGGAAACATGAGATGAGGGACGTCATTCCGTAATCCACATTTTGGAAACTTCTGTCATATGTTCTTGTCATGCTTGCTTTTTAGTTTTTATTTTTTTTATTTTTATTTATTTTTTTCCTTTCTAAAAAAATTAAAAAAAGTCTCTTTACCTCAGAGAAATATGAAATGCAGAAAAAAAAAAAAATATATATATATATATATCTATATATATATATATATCAATAACACCGCAACCAACAAAGCTCTCTTCTTCAATCTCTTTCCTCTAAATCACGTTCTTTCTCGTTCTCTAAATCTTTTACAAAGTTTCAAAACAGTTTATTTGTCATATCCAAATTCTCTCTTCTTCTTCTTCTTCTTCTTACCTTATTATTTCTCTCTCTAAATTCTCTTCTCAGTTAGAGAGAGAAGCAAAAGAATAGTAATTTATAATGATGTTTTCGTTGTCGGCGATTTTGATCGCCGGCGCCGTCATTTTCCCCGTGGTTGTGGGTGAGTATTTTCCGGCGACGTTGACGCTTGAGAGAGCTTTTCCGGCGAGCCACAGAGTGGAGGTGAGCGAGCTCGTGAGGAGGGACAGAGTCAGACATGGAAGGATTCTGCAAACTTCTTCAAATGGAGTAGTCGATTTTCTCGTTGAAGGGATTTTCGATCCCTTCGTTGTTGGGTACTTTTTTCTTTCCTTAAAAATTTGTTTTGTGTTATTTTTGTACATCATATTTGTTTAACTTGGATTTTCCAATGATGGGTGTTTTTCTTTTTTCTTTTTGGATTGTAATCGTTAATAATTATTGTGTACTTATTGTTCTGTGCATATCTCCTATGTTTATCAATAGTCGTTTGGTGATTTATTGCTGTTAATTGATAATAAGTAATTAGTATTTATCTCTTTCTTTGTCTTGATTTTGCTTTGGCTTTTTGTTCACTTTTGTTTCCTTTTTTTGGAAATTATGGCTGCTTCTTGCCATCTATGTGTGTGATTGAGTATGATTGCTCTATATGTTTATGTCCTTTTTTATTTTTTATTTTTGGGTCTGTTTATGGCTGCTTCTTGCCATCTATGTGTGTGATTGAGTATGATTGCTCTATATGTTTATGTCCTTTTTTATTTTTAATTTTTGGGTTTGTTGAATTTATTCCTGTTTTACAGGCTGTATTATACAAAAGTGCAATTGGGTTCTCCTCCAAGAGATTTCTATGTGCAGATTGATACTGGAAGTGATGTTTTGTGGGTCAGTTGTGGTTCCTGCAATGGCTGTCCTCAGACTAGTGGACTCCAAGTAATACCACTTCTCCTTACCTTAAAGATTTTTTTTTTCTAATTTTTTTTTTTTAACTTAATTTGGCATGTAAGGATTGGAACTTAAATATGTTACCGTTCGGCTAAGTCTGCAACCACTTTGTATCTTATGTTTTGATATCATTGAGTTTGTAGAATTAATAGGAACAATGTTCTGCTGCACCTGAGTTTTTGATTGTTTGCTCTGTTGTTTTTCTTGCAGATTCCGCTCAATTTCTTCGATCCCGGGAGCTCGTTGACGTCGTCTTTGGTCTCGTGTTCAGATAAGAGATGTAGTCTTGGGATTCAATCATCGGATTCGGCTTGCTCCGCTGAGAGCAATCAGTGTTCTTACACATTCCAGTACGGAGATGGCAGCGGAACATCAGGCTACTACGTGTCTGATTTTTTGCATTTCGACTCGGTTCTTGGGAATTCCTTGATTCAAAATTCTTCTGCTCGTATTCTATTTGGGTAAGATAGTAGTAAAAACTATCAAAACTTGGTTCTGTCATAATCTCTCTCCCCATTGCTTGGACTTTGGAAGTAATTGCCTCTCATGGTGAAATTTGTGAAAAACAGGTGTAGCACCTTGCAGACAGGGGACTTGACAAAGACGGAGAGAGCGGTTGACGGGATATTTGGCTTCGGGCAACAGGCAATGTCTGTCATCTCACAACTGGCTTCACAGGGGGTAGCTCCAAAAGCGTTCTCCCACTGCTTGAGAGGAGATAATGGTGGTGGAGGCATATTGGTCCTTGGCGAAATTGTTGAGCCGAACATAATCTATAGTCCACTTGTCCCACAACAGTAAGTTACCACCACCCCTCCCTCTTCTTTGGAGGAGATACATGCCATTGTCTGCAATAATCACTGAGGTTTTTCTTTTTATTTTCCTCATGTCACATTGGGTTTTAGATACTCCTTTTTAATGTGATAGAAAGTACAGATTTTTAATTAAGTGGACTTCAGTACAGATTGCTTCCTGCAATATTTGTCTCAGCTTAAAACCAATAGTTATTTTTTAGAACAATGCTTTCTTTCGCTTTTTTGTATCTGAATGGTAACAGTATGTTTATATTCAAAGGTTTATCTTCAGTCCATTACATTCTAATTTTAATAATATTTAAATTCTAATTTCATTTAGAGGAAGGCATAAAACTAAGATATAAACTGACCAAGTGAAGATGACTACTGAGAGTGTGTCTGATATTTCAGGCCTCACTATAATTTGAATCTGCAAAGCATTTCTGTCAATGGTCAAACTTTATCCATTGATCCGGCAGTATTTGCAACATCAAGCAATCGAGGAACCATTATTGATTCTGGTACAACTTTGGCGTACCTTGCAGAAGAAGCTTATGAGCCATTCATCAACGCTGTAAGTATTGAGAATGCAATTAATCAGTGTGCAACAACTGCACATACATAATATTATTATTTTGTGCTTACCATATTGTGTGTAGGAAAAGTCCCACTTTTCGCCTTTTAACCAAGTCATTGTCGCCTTTTGGCAATGGGACCAAGTATAGGCAAGCTCAGATATTGTTTATGACATATGATTATTATCCGATTGCAGATTAATTCTGCAGTTTCACAATCTGCACGCCCTGTTCTTTCCAAGGGAAACCATTGTTACTTAATCACTGTCAGGTTCGTTCTTGATAAGTTTACCTTAATTCTTTCTTCTTTCTTTCTTTGTTTTTATATAAATTTTAACTCTTGACTGTTGATTTATCTGCGGGTCAGTCCTACTGATATATTTCCTCAAGTGAATTTGAACTTTGCCGGTGGTGCATCGATGGTTTTGAGACCTCAGGATTACCTTATACAACAGAATTCTATTGTGAGTTTTTGAACTCCCTTTTTCTTGTTTGTATTTGAAATGAAAGTAGAGGGATGGTAAAAGCAATATTTAGACAATTACCATTTTGTCCATTATATTCTTTTTATCACATTTCTTCCCCCCCCCCCCAAACAAAAAAAAAAAAAAAAAGGTTATTTAGTAAGTTTAGAACCCCATTTCTCCTTCCCTTTTTCACTCCATAATTGGAGAGACGAAAAAGAAGGGGTGGAACCCACCATCATTATTTATCTATCTTATTTTCTTTTCCATTAAAAGTTCCTTCCTACCAAACAACTCAATTAACTAGTTTCACTCAAAAATTTCCCTTTACTTTTCATCCCCGCTAAACTAAGTGCAACTCTTGCATTTTACGCTTCCAGATAGTTGTTTCTTACTTTCTTTGCAATTGAGTACTTTTGAATTATATCTATCCTTGCTCATAAAGTTCTTTTGCATATAAAACATGTAATTGCTCCAGGAATATAAAGACACATGGCTTTGTCCCTTTTTCTTATCCTCCTGAAAAGTATCTTGTACTTTATTTCACTACCAAGTGTTTATCAAAATGTTCTGAATATTACTTTGTTATCCTTAATCTTAAAGATTGACATATCTACACATTGCAGGGGAGCGCTGCAGTTTGGTGCATTGGTTTTCAGAAAATCTCGGGTCAGGGGATAACAATCTTAGGAGGTAATAGACACCATACTTGAAACTTTTATTAGATTACTTGGCTGAGGAGATTGTAAACTTATGGAGTCCTGTAATATATAAGCTCATGAATTTTCAGACATATTTTCAAGACTTTAACTTTTCTCTGTTTGAAACATGTATCAATGGACAATGGTTAAAATAGAGACTTCTTAAGTTTTGTATATAGATACTTTTGTGTTCCACCTAATTGTAACTTATTCTCCAAGCAACTCAAAGTACAAAGTATGAGTAATTTGCTTTTTGAAGTTTTCCCTTTATTAGCCGCTATCGTTATTAGAATGCACCCCAAACACCTGTTTTCCCTTTATTAACTTTTGGCCTATGTATTTTTGCTGGAATTTTTTTAACTTTTCTTTTATCCCTATTATTATGTTGGTCTACATTGACTTAGCTAAAACTTAGTAGTAATAGGAATAGTGTATTTGACGCATTACTTCATAGATATTATTTTTCTTGAAGATAAGCCTAACATCATCTTCTTTTTGGCAGATCTTGTCCTCAAGGACAAAATTGTTGTTTATGATTTGTCTGGTGATCGGATAGGATGGGTCAACTATGATTGTAAGTTTCAGTACCCTACTATAATTGGACACCCTAAAGTGATTGAAATTATAATTTTTTCTTTACTCTAAAAAGAATCCAACTCTTCTTCGATTTTTCATTTTTCGTAAAGAATGCAAATTACTGTTGCTGAGATAAATTGCTGAAAACTTGAGACCGGAGTTTGAATTTTGTTAGGAAGTTCTACAAGAAGACTCATCCGAGTTCCCAAGTCAATACTGATATCTGTCCTTTTGCATCCGTCTTATTTTACTAGGTTCAATGCCAGTTAATGTCTCCACAACTTCTAGTATGGGGAAAACCGAGTTCGTCAACGCAGGGCAACTTAGCGATAGCAGTTCATTTCGCAGCGAAGCGTACGACTCATTACCTTTTTGCATTCTAGCCTTCTTTGTGCGCATAGCAATTCTCAGAACCTTCCAGTTCTTGTAGCATTCAGCGTAGAAAAGAGGATATGCTAGGGCCTAACATTCTTTCTTCTCTTGTATATTACTACTGGTTTGCCAGTTTATATTTATAGCTACTGGCAAGATCACAAGTTGCTTATTTTGATCACAGCCAGCGATTGTTTCAGTGTGCAATAGGTTTTTTTTTATTTTTTTTAATTTTAAATTTCCTCTTTTGGTCTGCTTTTAACACCCGCTTTGTATTTGTTTTTAGTGATCAGAAAATAGAGTTAGATATTTGTTCTGGCGCCAACTCTTGTAAATCACAATATATACACAATTGTTGGCTCATTAGCAAATTTGATTGGTAATGAAATTTACTTTGTTTCCATTACTACTTCAGTAGACGAATAATGCAATGGTTACCAAATTGTGTGCCAAAGCTAGGATATTGAATGACGTGACATTTACTTATTAGAATATTGATTGGTTAACGATATTTGAGAAGAATATCTTGTTTAAAACATTGTGTGAGAAGAAATTTTTGAATTTAAATTCTTTGTTAGACAAAAAATGCTGTGGCATAATTAGAATCATGGGTTCAAATAAGGGTTTAAAAAGCGTCTGAGGTGCATGCCTTGAGGCGCGCCTCGTGGCGAGGGGCTCGAAATGAGTAAGAAAAAAACTTAAGAAAAGAAGTAGACCAGCTAGCATAGTCGACATCTTCTTTGCACCTCACCTCTACTTCACGTGCATTATGAACCTTATGATATTAGGATTTGATAATTATTAAGTCTTTTTTACGCTTCTAGTAGTAAAATATACCTTTCTTTATGTGGATGTTTGGTTAAATTTCTTATTTTTAATGATCATTAAGTATGGATTTAGTTTTTGTTACTATTTTTTTTTCAATTTTTTTATAGGCATTTTTTGAGGCTTACGCCTTAAAGCGCCTTGAGGCTTACGCCTTAAAGCGCCTTGAGGCTTACGCCTCGTCTCGTAAAGACAAAACGCCTCGAGGTCCGATTCCGCCTTTAAAACCTTGGGTTTAAGAATATGTACCGGCCTTAGATATTGACGAGTGTGTTAGCCCCATCACATGGTTTTCCAAATTGGTAAACGAGTATTTTGAAAAGTATATTTCGCTTATAGATGTTTTAGGGTTGATCTCATTTTTAGTCTTTGAGCTATAGGTTAAATTCTATTTTGGTCTCTAAGAGAACGAGTTTAGTACTATGAAATTGTCCCAAATCAGTACTTTCATCCATCTGGCTCTTAAAATCTCTCCGGGATGCAACGTTTTTTGTTGATATTTTAATAGTAAAATGGACAAAAGGACTAATTTGGAAAAACTTTAGTTCAGGCCTCAAGGACTTATTCTGAGATGTTTTAGAAGTTGGGGACAAAACGAGATTTTTCTATAATTTAGATACTAAAAAAGAAATTATATTAAGTTGCCTGTCCACCATTCATTTGGAACTTGTAAATCTGCATGTTTTACTTCAGTTTGATGGATCGGGTTCCTCTTATTTAAAAACTGGAATAATTCAAGTGCTCAACTACAGCTTTTTGGGAAAAGAATCACACTTTTATGCTGCCTTTGATTTTGTGATTTTCACTCAAGTGAGTAGAAGGATGCTTGAGGTTCTTTTTGATTTTGTGACTAATTTTGTGATTTTTGGGAAATTAAATTGACAACTAACAGAGGATAATGTATACAGATTTAACCTGCATGACTTGAAACTCAAAAAGCAGTTGATTTTATCATCAAACAAACACAAATATGATTAAGTATGTGGGATTTGTTCCACATTCTCTAGAACTACTTTTAACATATTTGCAGTCACAAACTGCTCTAACACAAAAATCATCACACATGTACCATCATTTTAACTAGCACGTGGAACTTTTTTTTTTTTTTTTTTCCAAATAAAAAGTGATTGCTATATAAACCAGTGAAAGTAAATTTTAAAATCTACAAACAACAAACACAAGGAGCATTTTAAATCATGATTTGGAGAAAAGTGATTGACCAGAAGTTGTGCTTGAACAACCAGAAACTTCAAAGATTGCATCATCATCTTCTCCAACAGTGAATGCATAAGGAATTCATGATGCAGAAACCGGAGAAGCTTTAGTAGAAGTGTCATCGTCAAAAGGCCCTTTTGTTGCTTGATTTCTCTGAAGCTGCAATGCATGGTTCAAGTGCCATTCCACCTCCTGCATTGTAGGCCTCTCAGATCCACTTTCCTTCAAGCACTTCTCAGCTATTTCACCCACTACTTTCAACGATTCGGGGTGGATTTCGCCCACCAGCAAAGGATCTATGATCTTCTCTAGCTGCCCTTTTCGTCTCCAAAGTATCCCCCATTTAGCTAAGCTCACAGTGTCCTGCTCTTCAGAGAGAGTGAAAATGGCCGGTCTAGCACAAAGCACCTCAAGAAGTACGACCCCAAAAGAGTAAACATCGGATTTGACCGTGTATTGTGAGGACCTAATATACTCGGGATCGAAATAACCGAAGCTTCCTTTGAGGTCAATACTCTCATTGTTGGGATCAGGAGGACCTGCCTTAGAAAGTCCAAAATCAGCAACTTTAGCAACATAGTTCTCATCTAGCAAGATGTTTGACGACTTAACGTCGCGGTGAATTATCACCTCAGACGAACTGGTGTGCAAGTAGTTAAGGCCCTTAGCCGGGCCAATGCAAATCTCAAGCCTTTGCTCCCATGACAATTTGGGTTTCATTGATGGTTTTTGAGCCTTGCTCTGTGTGTCATATAGATGCTCTCGCAATGTCCCCTTTTCCATGAACTCATACACAAGTATCATTTCGTACTTATCATCACAATACCCAATTAAGGAAACAAGATGTTTGTGACGGATTTGAGACAACACCCTGATCTCCGATTTGAACTCATGAAGACCTTGTCCATCATCCGATTCCCCTCGTTTCACAGTTCCATGCCCCCTTTCAACCCATTTCACCGCGACGTTCATGCCTTTATGATTTCCTTTGTAAACTTTCCCAAAACCGCCTTGTCCAACCACCAACTTCTCATCAAATTTTCTAGTTGCTCTCTGAATATCACTTAAAGATATCTTCAATTTAAGGTTTAGCTTAGTACTTCTATCAGGCTTCGTTTTCTTGCTCTTCAAAACTAGAAAACCGGAGATTGATATGCCCATAAAAACAACCACACAAGCAACACATACACCAGCTAGCATAATATTATTATTCTTCTTAAGCTGATTATGAGAGAGAACTATACCGGTCTTTTTTTGCATCTCAAAAATCTCCAATCCATTCAAGAAAGGAGTCAAATCAGTACTCGACGAAAACTTTTCGAGCTTCAAACCAATGCTTACATTGATGAATGGAGAACCACTCGAATCCACAACAAAATCATAGTAAAACGGACTAGCGAATTCATTTGTTTCCTTGAATGGATTCACCAACTTCTCAAAGTTTCTGAAAATAAAGAGACTGAACTCCAAGAAGTTAACCGAGGCGTTGATATAGTAGCAAAAGTGGACGCGAACTAGGTGATGCGCAACGCTCTCTTTAACCGGAAAACGCCATCTCATTTTGAAGAAATTAGAATTTACATTAAGCACTTTTGCCGTCCTGAAAATGCTTTCCGGGGCAGTGTACTCTGTAACCCCATTATGCCAAGCAAGTTTGCCACTAAAGAATTGACTCTTCCTAGCAGCTTCACTATTGGATAGAAAATCTTCATCTGGTAGCCATTTCCTCCATAGAGTATCAGTCTCTGGTGTAATGGTGGGACCCCCAACATTGATCCTATGGACAGGGTGCAAAACTAAAGAGAGCAATCCAGTGTAATTCTTGTTACCACTATTACTTGCAACAGAAGTAACCAAAGAAGCGGAGTCCGATATGAAGTTATCTGGGGTAGGAAACACTTCTATTGCATTCACAAAAGCAAGAGGTGATAATTTTTGAGATGGAACAAAGCATAAACGGAGTAATCCTTCTTTCACTGTGACAAGAAACTCCTCAATTAGTACAATACCAGTTCTATCTCCGACGGTGAAGTTGGACAACAGTGAAAGTCCTGAAGTCGAAACGTCAAAAACTGCGACTGAGAGGTTGATCCTCCGAGTCGAAAAGGAGAAGAAATGAAGGCGTACCACGTGTGTCCTGTTGTGGTTGGAGAGTCGGAGCTCATACGAAAATGGTCGGTCGGAGATTCTCGCCGTGCGATAGAGAGACGGGGTATTGTTTGAAGGGTTGGTGTCCTTGACATCTTTGCTTCTTCCAAATGATAGAGAGAATGGAGGGTCCAGATCTCCCACAAAGATTCTGTCATCAGAGATACTGGTGTTGGAATTTGATCCACAGTTGATGAAGTACTTATCTGGTTTACTGTAATTTGATGATACGATCAGTTCAAGTGAAGAGAGTTTGAGGAGATGAAGGAGAAGAAATAGTTGGAAGCGAAGCATTTTTTTTTTTTTTGGGTGTTTTCCCGGGTATATGATGATTTTTTTTGTGAGACTTGGAAGTTTGCAAGCTTTGGCTTTTCTTTCGTGTTTTTCCGGGAATTTGAGGGATAGATGCCAAGGAAAATTCATTGTGAGAAATGCTTTTGAAAGGAGATTGATGTGAATTTGCAATTAATCGTACAACGCACAGATAAAAAAGTAGGATTGACACTAGACTTGAAAGGAGATTTTTTTTGGGCGTTAGAAATGTGGAGTTTCACTTGTAAGGTCCTGTTTATAACTGTTAGATAGATGTGTTTAAAATTAAAAAATATCTAAAATAAATAGTCTTTTATATAGATTTAACGGTTAAATTAAGAAAATACAGGTAATTTTTTTTTTTTTATTCTACCATAAAAAGTTTCGTTAAAATGAGATAAAATCATTTTAGTAACATCTATTAATCGAAACATATTATTAGTACACTTTTTTTTAATAATATTAAAATGATATCAGATTTAGAAAATATCTTACGGGTACATTGAGGTCGTTTATTAGAAGATAAAATGTTATTTTTGTCCTTCTATTTAACGAATTAGAAAATATAAATTTTAAAATTTTACAAAAATTTTAAAACATTTTTTTTTGAAAAATTTATGGTTTTTAAAATATTTTTACTATTTTATAAAAATAAATTCTAAAAAATATAACATAAAATATTAAAAATGACATTTTACGTCTTAAAAATCGGCCTGATCGTTTAGATAATGCAGAATTGGACTAGGATAATTCCCAAGCCCTGCTGAATTTTCAGTGGTTTTCCCTATAGAATGGCCCCACTTACAGATAATGCGGAGAGAAAAAGATATCTCTTTGTAACCTAATATAACTAGGGCCGTTCATTTCATTAATTCGAGTTTAAAATTCAAGTTTTGTTACAGTAAAAGGTTCTCAGAAATAGTCACATTTAACTTTTTTGTTACAGTAAAAAACTCTCACATAAAATCATATCTCAATTCAAATTAAAAACTCGAATCAACGAACTAAACTGGCTCTAGAACTCCTCCATAGTATAAATAGAGACATGAGGTCTCATTTATTCTTAGACAGTCTAAGAGCAAAATAACTGCTCACCTTTAGTAATTATTTTTTAAAAGCTCTTAAGTGGTTTTAAGGATGTACGAGTGGTAGATGAAAATTACTGAGTTGTGCCCATATACACAACAAAACGTCCAAGAACGAGTCTTTGATCTATTACATTGTTCCACATTAGTCCTTTTATATATTCTAAAATCTGGACGAAAAATGCATGTGAGGACAACTATTAAAAGGAATTTTGTTCAATTTTTTCATCAAGAGACAGACAAAAGGACGAATTTCACCGATTCGAGTTTTGCTACAGTAAAAAGTTCTCACATAAAGTCACATCTTAACTCAAATTAAAAACTCAAATCAGCGAACTAAACGGGTTTACTTCAGTAAAAATCAGGGACTAAAAAGGGATTTGCCTATAGAGTTGTGTGTTCACCATTTATTAGGAACTTACAATTGTCTAGGGATTTGGTTAATAGTCTTAACTCACATTGTTCACAGTGTTAGATAAAAGAAGTATCTCTACCATCTATATCATTTTAAAAAAATTGTTGAAAACATATCAATTGAAAACTAAGAGGCGACACAAATAGATTCAAGCGATATGACTTACAACTCAAAAAGCAGTTGATTTTATCATCAAACAAGCACACATATGATTACATTAAGGATGTCGGATTCATTCTAGATTCTCTAGAATAATTTTTTTAAACAAATTTGTAGTCACAAACTACTTTGTCACAAAAATCAGCACACATTTACCGAATTTCGGGTAGGACTTTTTTTCTTTTTTTTTTTTCCCCCCCTTTCCAAAGAGTGATTGACATCTAAACCAGTGAAAGTAAACTTTAAAAGCTACATACAACAAACACAAATTAGCCTTAAATCATGATCAGGACAAGAATGGTTGACCAGAAGTAGTGATTGAATAACCAGAAACTCCAAAGGTTTCATCATCATCAACATCTTCTCCAAAATGGAAAGTATAAGAAGGCATTCCTAGTGCAGACTCAAGAGAAGCATTAGTAGTAGTTGTGTCCTGAAAAGGCCCTTCTGTTGTTTCATTTCTCTGAAGCTGCAATGCATAGGTCAAGTGCCATTCCACCTCTTGCATTGTAGGCCTCTCAGATCCACTTTCCTTCAAGCACATCTCGGCTACGTTACCAACTACCCTCAACGATTTGGGGTTGATTTCGCCCACCAGCAAAGGATCTATGATCTTCTCTAGCTGCCCTTTTCGTCTCCAAGGCATCCACCATTTAGCTAAGCTCACATTGTCCTGCTCTTCAGAGAGAGTGAAAATAGCTGGTCTAGCACAAAGGACCTCAAGAAGTACGACCCCGAAAGAGTAAACATCGGATTTGACCGTGTATTGTGAGGAACTAATATACTCGGGATCAAAATAACCGAAGCTTCCTTTGAGGTCAATACTCTCATTGTTGGGATCAGGAGGACCTGCCTTAGAAAGTCCAAAATCAGCAACTTTAGCAACATAGTTCTCATCTAGCAAGATGTTTGTCGACTTGACATCACGGTGAATTATCACCTCAGACGAACTGGTGTGCAAGTAGTTAAGGCCCTTTGCCGCGCCAATGCAAATCTCAAGCCTTTTCTCCCATGACAATTTAGGCTTCTTTGATGGTTTTTGAGCCTTGCTTTTTGTGTCATAGAGATGCTCTCTCAATGTCCCCATTTCCATGAACTCGTACACAATTATCATTTCACACTTATCATCACAATACCCAATTAAGGAAACAAGATGTTTGTGACGGATTTGAGACAACACCCTGATCTCCGATTCGAATTCATGAAGACCTTGTCCTTGATCCAATTCCCCTCGTTTCACAGTTCCATGCCCCCTTTCACCCCGTTTCACTGCGACGTTCTTGCCTTTAAGATTTCCTTTGTAAACTTTCCCAAAACCACCTTCTCCAACCACCAACTTCTCATCAAATTTTCTAGTTGCTCTCAGAATATCACCATAAGGTATTAACAGGTTAAGGTTTAACTTAGTAGTTCTATCAGGCTTTGCTTTTCTGCGCTTGAAAAGTAGAAAAACCGAGACTAATATGCCCACAAGAACTACACAAGCAACACATAAACCAGCTACCATATTTTTGTTCTTCTTCTTTACCTGATTATGGCGAAGAACTATACCGGGTTTGTTCTGCATCTCGAAAATCTCCAATCCGTTCAAGAAAGGTTTCGAATCAGTAGACGAAAAGTCTCCAAGCTTGGAAACTCTTACATTGATAAATCTAGAACCATTCGAATCAACCACAAAATCATGGTAAAACGGACTTTTAATCTCTTTTGTTTCATTAAACGGATTCACCAACCTCCCGAATTTTCCCAAGATAGAGAGATTGAACTCCAAGAAGTTAGCCGACGACTTGCTGATAATGTCGCAAAAGTGGACGCGAACCAAGTGACGCGCAATGGTCTTGCTGACCGGAAAATCCCAACTCATGTTGGAGAAATTAGAATCCACATTCAGCACTTTGGCCGTCCTGTAAACGCTTTCCGGGGCAGTGTACTCCGTAATCCCATCCTGCCAAGAGAGTGCTCCGCTATCGGATTGTCTGTTGTTTGCAGCTTCTTTATTGAATATAAAATCATCATCTGGTATCCAACTCCTCCATAGAGTATCAGTTCCTGGTGTAATATTGGAACCCCCAACATTGATCCTAAGGACAGGATGCAAAACAAAAGAGAGCAATCCAGTGTAACTCTTATTACTACTATTACTTGCAAGAGAAGTAACCAAAGAAGCCGAATCCGAGATGAAATTATCTGGGGTAGGAAACACTTCTATTGCATTCACAAAAGCAAGAGGTGATAATTTTTGAGATGGCACAAAGCATAAACTAAACAATCCTTCTTTGACTGTGACAAGAAACTCCTCAATTAGCGCAGTATTAGTCCTGTTTCCAACACTGAAGTTGGACAACAGCGAAAGCCCTGAAGTCGAAACGTCAAAAACTGCGGCGGAGAGGTTGATCCTCGGAGTCGAAAAGGAGAAGAAATGAAGGCGTACCACGAAAATGGTTGTCTTGTTGTGGCTGGAGAGTTGGATCTCATACGAAAATGGTTGGTCGGAGAATCTTGCCGTGCGATAGAGAGACGGGGTATTGTTTGAAGGGTTGGTGTCCTTGACATCTTTGCTTCTTCCAAATGATAGAGAGAATGGAGGGTCCGGATCTCCCACAAAGATTCTGTCATCAGAGATATTCGTGTTGGAATTTGATCCACAGTTGATGAAGTACTTATCTGGTTTACTGTAATTTGATGATATGATCAGTTCAAGTGAAGAGAGTTTGAGGATAAGAAGGAGAAGGAATGGTGGGAAGTGAAGCATTTTTTTTTTTTTTTTTTTTTTTTCAGGGGTGTGATAATGAAGGTGAGACTTGGAAGTTTGCAAGCTTTAGCTTTTCTTTAATTTTTTTTTTTTTTTTTTCCGGGAATCTGTGTAGGAAAAGGAAAGTTGATTGTAAATGACTTTTTGAAAAGATGAGGGGAGGGAAAAAAGTGATGCAAAATTGCAACCAATCATGTATGCACTTATAAAAAGTAGAATTGTTAAAGAAAGACCAAGACTTGAAAAAGGAGATATTTTTGGAGTAAAAAGAAAAAAAAATCTTATATTTATATATATATTTTTGGTTCCTTTATAATGTAAGAGTTCAAAACTGAACACTGCTAATGATAGGTTGTTTTTATTAGATAATTATAAAATTGTATTGCTTTATATTGGCCCACCATGAGGACAATACATGTCCACAAATCACAACTTTGGCTGATCATTGTTGAGAATTCTTTGGGAACGGATCAAGTGTATCCATTACTGAATAAATATAAAAAGGAAATAATAAAGAGGAAAAACGATGATAATGGTTGATTATGAGTTTTTTTTTTTTTAATTCTCCAAGTTGGCATAATCAATAAGATTTGGCACTTGGCATCAGAAAAAGAGAAAAGGAGAGAGTATGTTGGCCGGAATTTTGGGATCGCTTCTGTAACACCCATTTTTCTAACTGACAAATTCGTAGAAATATACATTAAAAATTAACATGAATGATGTTATGGTGTTATAATTAGTTAAATTCTAATATCACGTTAAGTTATATTCTGCCGGTGAACGCGACGAGGACTCGTGGTGTAAGAACAAGTTCATGCCAAACTGTTAAATTTTATATGATGATTTGATGGAAATGTGTGTTGATTTAATACCATTAATAGATTATGCAAATATATAGTTTGACAAAATACATATTAGATATATATGTCAAGTTTTAAATACAAATTGGTTATATGTTATATTAAGAAAAAGAAAAAAAAAAAAAAACAAACTTACACGGTCAATTTTATATTTATATATATATACACACACACATAAGCATCAATAGTCAACCATAGTTATGTTATTGCACTTTATTGCTGATAATTGATTCTATGCCGAATAGCTAAGGGTGAGGAATTGCATTATGTCTTTTGAGTCAATGAAAGTATAACGAAACATCAATCATAATTTGCAATTCGTTTTCCACCGCAATGACAGCCTATAATCACCCAAATGAAGTCAATTAACATTCAAGTTAATTCCAAAATTCATTTGCAATCAAATTGTGAGTAATTTCTGTTTATATACATGTTGACCAATACAAATCTTATTCTTTTAAGCAGCCAGCTTTATCATTTTTTTTTTCCCTTTCCTAATCCCTCTATTCCCCCTTCACGTCTCTCTGTCTCCCATCCTCTCTTTCACGACAAAAAAAAAGAAAAGAAATCACAAGAGAACCTCCATAATCAGCCATCAAACTCATCTCTTAATATTTCTTTTGAATTCTCCTAACAATCAAGATAAAGGAAATCGTTAAGGTATGATTCCTCTTATTATTTATTCTTTTGGTTTCGAATTCTTTAAGGGTATGGATTTGATTGTCAATAATGGCTTTTGTTTGAGGAGGAGAGACATGAGATGATGTTTGAGTGAGACTATACCACTACTATGTTGCTTATGGTATTACGTATATGGGTGGATGGGTGGTTGTGTTTGTTTTCTTTTTTTATAATTTCAGACCTCTGTATTATTATTTATTTAATTAATCATTTTCAAGTTGTCCATTTTATTTAGAGGAATCATTTATAGACTTGTATATATATTGTGTCCGATGCTAGGATATCTTATTTCATTGGACTTATTGCACCCTAGTTTAAGAAGTCAAAAATTTTGGACGTGTCTAGGAGTGATTACATGCATACTTCTATGTTTCTGTGTATTAGAAATATGTCATAAGGTTGAATAATAGATGGAGTGTTGTTATACTGTTGAGGATAATGGTTATAACTTTTAGTGAATTTTGGTCATAGTTTGAGTGCTGAAATTTCTCCAGCTTTCATGTCTGATTTTAAAACAGGGTTTGAAGGAGCAAACGAATTCCGTTTTTAACAAATTAGATACCGTCGGAAAGCTCTAGATGTCTACTTTAACTTAAAATTAGTTTCAGGTCATTTGGAGTTCTATGTGAATTATTATGAGTTTTTAAAAGAGTAAAGGTCAGGCTGCCAGTTTTTATTAGGTTTTGTGGTTTTGTGTAATCAGTGGGTTTTTATGTCGTGATGTTAATGAATGGTGAAAATGGTATATTAAATACTGTTTTAACATAATTAATGTATTTGATGAGATGTTAAGGTTTTTTAGTAATCTTATTTATGATTTATGGCATGAACGGTTCTAGAGGCGAGCACCCGAGGACCTCATTCGTCGCGTCACCGTTGTGAAATTTAAAAAGGTTAAGGCGCTCAAGTAAGTACACTCTCACCTGCAACATGAATTGAAGAATTGAGAAGTATATGATTTTGATGTCTATGATGATGTTATGACGTTTTTAATAATCCTCTTATGATGACGTTTTGAAGAAAAATGTATATGTGTATTTTTATGTTTTTAAATGGCGTTGCACACCCTTGATGGTGACTGGTGACCGGTTTATTGCCACGGTTGGTATGGAATTTGCCACCCCATGCTTTCCGTGGCTAGCGCGCTATGATGGTACAACGTCGGGCCCAATATATGATGGATTTTTAAAGTTTAAACATGTTCAAAAATAATTATTCTCATGATGATGTTTATTGTTGATGAATAAAAATGTTCGTTTAAATTTGTGAGGATTAAGTGTCTTACTAAGCCCTTGCTTATATAAGTTATTTCATGTTGCAGACAATCTAAAGGGTAAGATGTAGCCATGGAGAATATTGGAGCGGATGCGAGCTATGCGTGATAGGAAAACGAGAGAAACGATCATGGAATGAAAGTGTTTAAGGTTAAACAAAGTTTTTAGTTTTTAGTTTTATTGTTTTGAAACTTCGGTTTATGGTGGTTTTGATTTGAAGAATATTTTAGACTTTATAGATTTTAATAACTAAGTTGAACCGAAAGTTATTTTATTTTTCTTTGAGGGAGTTCAAAAATTTAAAGATAGTATGTTTAAAAAAAATCTAGGCTTTTCTTTAAGTCGTTCAAAGTAAAGTATTTCAAGTTTAACGATTTTTCGCATTTTTTAAGAGGTAAATGTTTGAAAGTTAAGATAACTATGACGGTCCGTGAGGGGTCGTTATAGCTTCTGGGCGCGTCACCGGACTTCCGACCCTAAAATTTGGTCCCTGAATTCATCTCGCCGTTGTCTTTTATGTGATGGTGGCAGGATGCGGAGTAGTGCTTTCTTTAGAGCAGATCTAACACACTTTAGAAGTGGGTCTCCAACATGTTTGCTAGATGGTGGCCGTGCTCCTTTGGCGTTTTGTTTCGTGCGGCATTGGGTTTCTCTTAGAGGTGGTGTTTTCAATTGCGGGAGGTGGTTGCAGAGGGTGAATTTCACTTGCAGTTTTATGTCGTTTACTCGACCTTTCCATATCTCTTTCAAAGTCGTCTGCCCTTCCTGGTAGTGCTCTCGCTAATTGACTCCTCATTAGAGTCGTTTGGTAACGGGTCTTGGGGTTTTTTTGTGTTTATTATGTTTTTATTTTTGGTGTGTTTTTACTACAATAACTGGGATTTTCACCCCGTTGTCTTTGTTTGTTTTTAGTGTCTGTTGGACTGGTGCCTTAATAGTATTTGGTGTAGCCTTAGTACTATGATGTTTTGTCCCTCCATCGCTCAAAAGCTTATTTTGCTAAGAGTGGTTTTATCAAATAGAGCTGTAGGTGTGCTCGATTTTAGTGTGCCGAGATATTCTTCTGTTTTTGGACCTCAGGTGTACGTCCATTCCTTCGCCGGGTCATTAGACTTTTATTGCGTTTGTTCCACTAGTTTTATTTAAATGCAAGTTGCCTGAGACATGGGTTTTTATTTAAAAAAAATAAAATAAAATAAGACTTGGAAATCTAAATTTTCTATACACCTTAGAGTTTTATGAAAATTTGACATATTTTGAGGTAGGATCACTATGAATCAATCATGCAAGAACGTATCAAAGTAAGATTGTTAAAGAAAGACCAGTTTTTAAAGATAATTTTTTGGTGGAATAAAAACAACATCTATGTATAGAACGAGACGTATTCCAATAATTTTGCAAATTTAGATGCTAAAATTAAAATAAAAAGTTTTGAGGAATAAGTAGTTAAAACCCCAAAAGTATAACAAAAATAATAACTATCTTTTTATAAAATGACTTCTGTTTTCATATTAAAAAGGGTTATTTACATGAATATCCTTTTCTTAAATACGGGAATGTGATTTAGAGTATCTTGAATTTAAAATTATTTATTTATTTGATTATTTACAAAAAATCTAAAACTATGCCTATAAAGACCTTTATATTCTTATAAAGTAAAAAAAGAGAAAATATAGATGTTGATATAGGAAAGATAAAATAAAATAAAATCTAAATATAAGATATTCAAATTTTGAATATGGAAGTCAAAAGATTCAATATTTCATTTAATTAAACCTCAATATTTTAGGAAAGGGGAAAGTTTCTTTAACAAAAAAAAATGCATCTTCCCAAAAAAAAATTGCCCTAAATACCCATCTGCATCTTCCAAAAGCGTCCCTTAACAAAATACGACAAACTAAAAAAATTATAAAAAAAAAAGAACGAAAGAAAGAAAGACAACCCAACACAAAGCGTCCCTTAACAAAATACGACAAACTAAAAAAATTATAAAAAAAAAGAACGAAAGAAAGAAAGACAACCCAACACCCCTCCCTCTAGTAGAAGTGATACAATCATTAGCCTTCTTTGCACCAAAATAAAGAGTAAGAAATCTGCCAATTAATGGTCATTACAAAAATGAATATTTAAATAATGATATAAAAATGATGGGAAAAGAAAACTAAGGTCAACACATTTGCCTTTTGCATTTGTTTTATATTGTTTTGTTATTTTGCATTTCTCAGGTTTTCTTGCTTAAATGAGAAACCAACTCGATTTCAATCACAAGTGATTTTTTATTGCTCCGTTCACTTTACTGATTCGAGTTTAGAATTTGAGTTGATATGTGACTTTATGTGAGAACTTTTTACTGTAGTAAAAAAGTTAGATGTGATTGTTTGTGAAAACTTTTTACTGTAGAAAAACTTAAATTCTAAACTCGAATCAGCGGAGTGAACAGGACCTATATTTGTTCCGGCTTCTTTTTTTTTTTTGATAGTTCAATTTAATGTATGTTATGAAATGAAGCCTTTGTAAGTTCACCTCATCAGGAAAAGAAAAAAATAATAATAATAATAAAAGTCAACTTTTTGTTATGAAATGAAGCCTTTGTAAGTTCACCTCATCAGGAAAAGAAAAAAAAAATAATAATAAAAGTCAACTTTTAAAAAAAAAATTTATTTTAACTCGCTTTTCAAGTTCACTCAAATCTCAGATATATTGCATTTGTGTATAGGAAATGCCAAAGAGGGTTGAATCACGTCAGATGGTGTAGTCAATTAGCTAGGCAAGGATGAGTACAATTTTCGTTATTATTTATTTAGAGTCAATTTGAGTTGAAATGTGATTTTATATGAGAATTTTTTATTGTAGTAAAAAGTTAAATGTGACTGTTTCTTAAAATTTTTTATTGTAATAAAACTCGAATTCTAAACTCGATGCGGCCTTAGTTGTGCAACAAACTTAATAAAAATTCATGACCAAGGACAAAATGAGCGAAGTAATCTTTCAAATCCATTTCTTATGTTTTCTGTTCTCTGTTACATCTCTTATTTTAAGGAAAAAGAGTCGAATAGCACTTAGAATGCACTGAGTCTTGGATTTCTCAATTAACATAACGTACGACGTTTTTGTAATATAAAAGAGTGGTAACATGTTAGTTAAGGTTTATCCGTTCTTGTAAATTCCTAACTATTCTTTTTGGAATTTTCTTCTTCGGGCCTTGTCGTTTGTTTTGTCGGGTTCTTTCATTGTGTACCAAGAAAAAATGTTCAAAATCTGCAGTTTTTTGTTTTTGTTTTTTATTTATTTATAATTTTATACTTTTGAGTTGTCTAGGAAACACAAAAAAAGTAAAAGCCGTGTTTGAAATTGATCTCATTTTTATTTTTTATGTTTTTTGAGAAAAAAAAAGAAAACATTTTCAAAACGACATTTGGTGCAATAAAGACAAAAAATGAAAATGAAACGATTTCTTTGTTTAGTGTAAAATAAGAGATAAATGAAGAACGATTTTTAATCGTTTTTTATTTTTTATTCTCGTCTCTCAACAAGAGAGACATTAATGAATTTTTTTATACTAAAAATAATCTCTTAATAAAACTACCGAACACATTTTTAAAAATGATTTGTGTCTAAGATTAAAAACATTTTTATTTTTATTAAAAAATAAAATCATTTTAAAATGAGTTCCAAACGCGCTTAAAAGTTTTCAAGGTTTCTTAAAATCAATTGTCTACTTAAAAATATTAACTAAATACTGTTCTTTAGAAGGGAGAGGGGAACGGGTATGAACATAAAATTATATGTCATAAGCACCAAAAAGCTGTTTCTTCATTCCACTTCTAGTGGTGTTAAACCTATGAGCATAATAACATTTCATGAGTACCAAAATAGCTGTTTCATCACTGCACTTGCAGCAGAGTTCGACCTGTAAATCCTGTACCAGAATATGCTTTAAACAGGTATACCAAAAGGCTGTTTCAGCATTTACATTTTTGTCCAGTGTTACCAAATCTTAAAACAAAAGAGGGACAGCAAAGTTTCTTTCAAAAATATCCACCAACTGTTGAGGTTCGCTCAACAATAAAACATGACATCTTTGACGTTGTCCTTTATCACGGGAAGTGGTCGGACCACGCCCGCACCACCCCGAGTTCCACCACTTGAAGAAGCCGCATCAGAACTTTCACTCTCCATATAGTATCGAGCACGAAATGCGATAAGATGTGCATAGTAAGCAGGCGGCACTGCAAACACAATACATTATCCTCAGTCTAGTATTTTAGAATCGTAGAAAGCATAGATAGTTGATATAATAAGAGAAAGAATAAAGAAACAGAGAAATCCAAAGGATGGATGTCAAACCTATCGAGACTGATCTGGTGCATCTAGCAAACCTGAAAAGCGAAGCCCCCACCAGGAATTGAGAAACAATGTTTAGAAGATGATCATTGTCCCATAAAAAGCAAGTAGAATCTAAAAAGTCAAAATAATAGGATACAAAGAAAAGATTACGTGTAACACAAGTTGTTGGTAAGAACTTGCAAGGCATCTGCGCTAAAACTGTTTTCGTCGTGTAAGACGTGATAATGTGTAGGCCTGCTGGTTCCCTGCAATATTCAGACAACGTAAACTACTCATTGACAAGGAACATGAACACAATTGAAGGCGTTCCAAACTGCTACTTTTAAATACAAAAGATTCCATTTTGCAAAATCACACAATTATTACCTGAATTCCAGCATGACTATTAAGATAGAAATCAAATTCAGTGGGATGGCAAATATGAGTGTCCACAACGGTTCCTAGACACAAAGTCCATCAAATTAGTATTCCAAAAAACAAATCTATTAGAATATAGAAATTAGTGATCTCAACGCAACTAAAATGTAACCTGGGGCTATATTGCCACTCCTGTCCGTATTATCACGGCTTCTGTAGTCGGTCGGGAAAAGGCGCGTATGGTGCCTTTTCTGGACAACAACAAACGTGATACGGGGTAAATATCCCTCCTGAAGAGATTGACAGGCCTGGAAAAACAGAAGGTAAATGAAAGGTGAAAAAAGAAAACCACAAATTATCGTTGCCAATGGTTATACTACAAATAAAATAATCATTCCATACTAATTTTTCTGATCCCATGGATGACAACAACCATGGGTTGTGATTTCCTGTACCGAACATCCTACAATCTCAGAACAAGTATACTTGTGATCTTGAATTGAATACCTTTCTTATGGCATCTATCTCATAGAGAAGAACTTGACTGAACTGGCCTTCACTGACACCATCTCTGCCAAGACAGAACTGGTTCAGTAAAGCATTAATGAAAAGCATCATTTTTTTAATGGCAAGAGCAACAACATTTGGTTGAGTAAAACAAACCTACCTGTAGAATATAATTCTATGAGGTTTTTGCCCAGTTGATTTATAAAATGCAATCAGATGTTCCCTATTTGAAGCCACAAAAAACAGAAAAAAAACAAAAAAACAAACAAACAAATAAAAAAAAAAAGAATGAAAATGGGGAAAAAATAGTATTCAAAATAATTACATGTAATTCCTTACCTAATCATTCCTCCATGACTCGGAACTTGTTTATACAGATCTTGAATTATCTCCTCACGATGATATTGGGCAGAGACCAGTCCTCTGTATTTGGTAACTTCCGGCCAATCCATTGAAGCAACCACCTTTGAATATAAATTCAGAATTTAACCCAATGACCTTGTAAAGAAATAGAAGACAAAAATACAAATCCAATTAACTTGCTATGGAATAGAAGACAATAAACTTACTGCTGCTATCGAAGGAGTAGAGTCCTCTCCTGGTTGTGGATGAGTCACATCAGCACCAAAGATAATAGTAGGTCTATCACTCACCAAGGGGAGTCTCCTCTGAATAGCATCATCCAATACAGTGTTTCGACCACCAACCTGAAAAATGTATTTGCCCTAGGTTCAAATATTAAGAAAAGGCAACCAAAAGGATGCATGAAGAAGAATTCACGGAACCAAACCTTCACATTAATCTTGAGGGCTACATTCTCCAAGTACTGCTGCAGCCTCTTAGGGTTTCCTGCTGCTTTCGGATTGCAGCATTGAGAGACAATTCCAAGCTCCGTTTCACAAACTCGCTTAATCCTTCCTAAAAGGGGAAATAACATTTCAGCTCCAAAAGTGAAAATGGTACCTCTCGATCTGAATCTAGATCATGTAACTCACCATAAGAGCCACTAGCTTCAGGTAGGATAACTATTAACAGCTGAAGTGCCTTCTTACTTTGCTCATGAACATGAAGCAGAGCCCTCTCAATTTGAAAAGGAGATGCTGAATAAATGGGCATTACAGGCCTGGTTTGGAAAGCCTGGCAAGTTGTCCAAAGGGTCAAAAAACCGATAACCAAGATTCATGGAAGCAATTTTACTCAACAGATGAGATTTGTAACCATACCATTCCTTTCGCCGTACACATTGATACCAATCCCTCACAAAAGCGATGCAGCATGTTTGAGTCCCACCGCGAGAAGTTTACACAAGCCCACGAGTCCACTCTACCCCCATTCACCATTTTCTACAATTACATTACCCGAGGATAATCAACTTGCAATGTAATTTGGCAACAAAAATTTTTTTTTTTTTTACGCCCAAAAACTGGCTAAAGAAAACAATCCATTAATTTGGAAAAAAAAAAAAAAAAAAAAAAAAAAAGTAAAACAAAACAAAAAAAACAAAACAAAACAAAAAAATTTTGCTCATGAACAAGCAAAGATGCTTTCATACGTGGTTTTAAAAGGAGCAAGAAAATGTTATGCCTTAAAAATAATGGAGTATGAACAACAGGATACTATCGTACAAAAATTTTACCTTATCAATCATGTTCCATTGTCCCATCCTTGGATTCTCTGTTGAATTCCTTCCGGTGCCATGATATAAAAGCTTTGGGTCAAACAAAAGGGGAAAAAATAAAGGAACAAAAAAATATAATTAGTAACAACAGATCAAAGAATGACGTATCAAAACACAGAGGGGGACTCTGGTACCGTTGGAGGTGGCAAAATTCGGGCCTCAACCTCTGCCATTTCCAATCTTACTTGCATGCCAAATTCTTTAACACGACCATCACCACTGTAATTGTTGTGCCTAACAGTCCTCTTTATGGTTTCTTCCCTCTCCAAAGGGCGTTGGCAGTTTGCTCGAAGGAGGTTGGATACTTGGTTCTCATTTAATTTCTTTGAATATCGCTGTCCCTGAACAATTTTGCAAACCTGCAGAAAAATAACCTTGAAAATTTGAAAAGAATAGTGCATATATCAAGATTATAAAGGAACAGAATTAAAATTAAAGAATAACCAGTAACCTCCAAAGGGAGGAAGATGGGCCTTGTTGAACTTCCAACTTGGATGGCAGGCCAAGCCGCATAGTTGAGTTGGAAATTGTATGTTTCACGAAAATATTGAGCAACAGACTGTGTTCTGTTGTCATCACGAGTAAACCTGGAGAACCAAAAGTTTTTGCACAGGTTAGAAGAGGAAGGTAAACTAGAAGTACATAAAGACTTAAATTAATTGTCAAGCATAAATGTACCATTATAAACATATGAACTGCTTACATTACTCTGTTTAATGGCTCCATGGATAGCCCACTGATCTTGTATCTTTTCACATGTGGCAAGTGGTTGGTTTCTACATTGATCCCTGTCAATGCCTTTTTCACCTGTGAAAATTGATACGTAAGAATTCAAACTAACTTCTGAACTTTAACTTAGTATAAGAACTAAACAACAAGATATATTCTTGCACCATCATAACAACAAGAAACAATATCTGCGAAACAAGCCCTTCCAAAGTAATAACCAAAAACTACTACGGAAAGCAACAGAGTCCTTTACACAATTCATACGGAGAAGAAAACAATTTACATATAGTCATCACGACTCGTAATGGCTCCCTGATACATAATTAAATTCACACCGCATTCAACCTACTTAAAAAGCAAATCCACAAGACACGATTAAATTAACTGACTGAACCACCAAGTACTGTCTACTACTTCAGCTCAGAGGAGGAGAATTGGTAACATAATAATGCATTCAAAAAGCGAATTAAGAGAAGCACCTTGATACGTTCATGTTCAGAAAAAGGATTTCGTGGATCTCTCAAATTGAAATTTTTCTTCAGAAATTCAGTGACCTGAATTGGTTCATAAAAGGCCCTAGCGGAGACATCTACAGCATTTGGATAAAATGATCATGAAAAATAATTGTTAATCCGACGAGGAAACCTTTATATGTATCGAACTTAAAATAGCATGTGACCAAACAAGAGCAGAAGGAGGCCATACTGATATTCAGAGAAAGGCCCATTTGGGTTGGCCGAAGACTTTGGTAATACCCATTCCAATATTCTACACCATTACCAAGCTCACCAGTGGGACCCAATGTAGGATGAAAAAATGACCTCCCCACAGGAGTATAGCTGCATAAGACCAAATAAAAAGGTTTAAACAATTGAAAACACTCCATAGTTAACCAATTCCAAGGCCAAAACTTCCACAGGAACAAAACTTATGAGCATTTTGAACAAATATAACTATCATATTACAGTTCTGATGGTTTGCCTCTGAGGACCACATCAAGAACTTGAATTGTCTCCTGCGGACAATCTGCTTGTCTTCTCTGAAGAAACTGTTGCAGATGATGCAGGTCAGGCTTTGATGCAAATTTGATGGTGACCTTGAATTCACGCTCCCCTCTGCAGGTTAAGAAGCAAGCAAGAATGAGAAAACAGAAAAAAATCACAAAAAGTAGTTTATTCACATAAATAAATAAACACAAAAGAAAAAAAAAATTTAACTCAAGCACACATAGCACCTCCTAGAACTAGAACTAGAACTCCCGGCCCGTCCATCATTTTCGGCCAACTTAACAACAAATTCTTTCGATTCAAATGGCAATTGCCCAGCAGTGTAAAGACTCTTCCTGCCATCATAAGCTGGAATCCTTTTACCCAAGTGCGAGTCTCGATACAATTGAACAAGCTGACTCATTACATCCCTGTTTACTTTCTTCGCTGGCACGTCTGGAGTAATGGACACCTGAAAACGGTCATGTAATGAAGGTTTGTCATAGAGCCAGAGATGGTGAAAACAAATTTAAGATTCCAAAATTCTCTTTTGCTAATAAAGATAAAATTTCCACTGAAATGAATATACCATATACAAAGTTTAAAGCACAGAGGAAAAATGACGAAAGTAAAGGTCACACAAATAATGATCCTATCTAGAGGAATGCTAAGATTATGCTAATAGGAAATTGTCAAACAAAGAACATGATGCACAGACGTATAAAATGTCAAAAACCAACTGATCTAAAGTGTGTTAAAGCAAACAAACGGCAAAGAAAAAAAAAAAAAAAAATATATATATATATATATATATATATATATATAAATGTATAATGAAGCAAAACACTAAAGAGTGTATACACAGCCAATAGACTGCACTTATCAGAAACGGAAGTTAAAATAGAACAAAATACCAGAAGCATGAAAATGCATAAGAATATGTTCTAAATAAATCAAAAATAGCATAACCAAAGGCACGTAGCAGAGATACATACAAAAGAGAAATAAAGGAGCGATGACAGTAGAACAAAATGCCAAAAACAAAAAGGAAAATACAAACGAACAAAACAAAAAAACAGAGAGAAGTAAAGAAAACAAAGCGAGAAGATGAACTGTCAATATACTTGCATTTATCACGAAAGAGAATTTGAACAAAAAGTCCAAAAAAGGGGCAAACAGACGTACAGAGAGAAGAAAATGCATCATATCGATATAAAAGGCGAACCCAGATACAAAACAGCAAAAATGAATCGATGAAGAACAAGGATTTCAAAAATCAATTTTTATACATAAATATGTAAACATATATGCACATATAAATATATATACAAAGAAACCGATTCTAAATATTGATTTGCTTTCATAATATAATGGGAAATATAAAGGTCAGAAAAGCAATCGTCTCAGCCGGGAATATTGAGATCGTGCAAAGAGGAAATTAAAAACCAACAAAATCGTGAAAAGAATATAAGAGGTAAAACACAAAGCGATAATTATCCACAGCAGTATCTAAGCAAACCCAAAAAAAATAAAAAAACAACGTATAAGAGCGTTTAAGAAATGGAAGTTCATAACCAAACAAATTACCAGAACAATGAAAATGCATAAAACACATTTCAAAGGAAAATACAAGAAAGAAAATAATGAATAAATAAATAACAAAGAACAGTCAAGATACTGGAATTAATCACAAAACAGAAGGTGATCCAAAAAAAACATCAATAATACTAAAAAAAGGCGTGATATAAAGGCAAATCTAGATACAAAACAGAGAAAGGAAAATACAGGAAAAAGAATTAAAAAAAAAGTCTCACGTCGTAATGGCAGAGATCGCGATCAGCGACATTCACCAGAAAATGATTAGCACGCACGACGCATTTCCTCCCTAACTTGCCAAAACCAGGCCTCGCCGGAGGCCTCACCGCCTTCGATGAAGCCGGCAACGGTCTCTCCCGCAATGTAACTCGCTGCTCAAGTTCGCGGCTCAAAGAAGCAGAAGCCTCCGATGGAGTCGCCAAGGCCTGAGGAGCCGGCGGAGTTGGTGCAGAGACCGCTGGCCGAGCAGGCGGCGGAGTTGGTGCAGCGACCGCTGGCCGAGCAGGAGGCGGAGTTGGTGCAGCGGCCGCTGGCCGAGCAGGAGGCGGAGTGGGTGCAACGGCCGCTGGCCGAGCAGGCGGCGGCTGCGGGGTCACCGGCGCTGGACCTCCGCGACCTCGTCCACGACCAGCGGCGCCGCCACCGCGGTGAATTGCCGGGGAAGGGGAAGAGGGTGGGGGCTGATCGCGGCGAGAATCCTGTCGCCGACCACCACCGCGACGAGACATTTTCGGCGATTCTTGCTTAGGAACGAAGGAATGAAACAGAGAGAAAAGAATGTTTCGAATGAGAGAGGGAGAGAGGGAGAGAGGGGACGAGTGGCAGAGGACTGATGACAGTGTGTGAGCGCGCTTCCGAGAGTTGTGTGTATGTGTGTGTGTGAGAGAGAGAGAGAGAGAGAACCATACTTATAGAACGAGACTTGGGAGATGGGCCGACGCTGTTTTTGAAATTAAAATTTTCAAAAAAAAATTAATGGGGTCATAAAAATCATTTACGAAGAGTTATTTTCATAAAATTATGTTATATTTATATAATTTATTTACCTAATATGATTGTCTTACGCCTCGGATTGAAACATTAGGCGTGCATGTGCATTTAGAATAGAGATTCATGTCATGATTTGAATTATAGTTCATAATTTATTATAGTATTTTTTTTATAAAAAATATATGTAAAATAAGAATAATTTTAAATCATAATTTTAAATATATGAACTAAACGTACACTAGATAAAAGGTCTTTTCTTAAACATAGTAAAACTCCGTTCATTTCATCGATTCGAGTTTATAATTTAAATTTTATTACAGTAAAAAACTCTTAAAAATAGTCACATCTAACTTTTTTACTATAACAAAAAGTTCTCACATAAAGTCACATCTCAACTCGGATTAAAAACTCGAATCAACGAACTAAACAGGCCCTAATTTAAAAAATCAGAATTTAAAGAAAGTATTCATTGTTAACAAAATAACATAAGCTTTATTCATTTTACCGATTCAAGTTTAGAATTTAAGTTTTATTACAGTAAAAAGCTATCAGAAACAGTCATATCTAATTTTTTTACTATAATAGAAAGTTTTCTCATAAAATCACAACTCAACTCGAATTAGTAAACTAAACGCCAAACGGGCCCTAATTATATTTTTACCCTTTTTTTTGCTAATCTATATTTTCACCCTTTTAACCAATGTATATATTGTATACACAGTAAAAATGTGTATAATCGTACGAGACAAACTTGTTATCTCCCAAGGTACATGTTTCTTTTTTTTTTTTTTTTTTTTTGGTGAATAAGCATAAGGCACTTGCCTTTTCCTTATTGCATTTGTAAAGCCTAGTTCATGTTCTGACATTTTTGTGGCATACAAATATGGAAATCGGACGTTTTGCATATATAGTTTTTTTTTCTTAATAATAAATATGAACTTTTTAATATGATAGGTTAATTTTTTTATCTATTAAATTCATATAAATTATGTAAAAATTAAAAAAATATAATTTAATAAAAAAATTAAAATCTATCATTTCTCTAATAAGTAAAAAAAAAACAAGAGTAAAGAAAAGAAAAAGCATCTCTAATCTCTAATATAACTATATTACTAAGAAAGTTTCTTATTTACTAATTATTTTTTCTCCCAGAGCTCTTTTATTATACTAATTTTTAAATTATTTTAGGCTAATGTTTATTTGAATAATTTAAATCATGTTTTGAATTGTGTGTAAAAAAATACTGTAAAAAAAATTAAATTTAAATTTTTTTAAAAAAATATTATATTAATATAATATGAGTTATGAAATAAATTACTAAATTAAAAAAAAAAAGCACAATTTTGGAGAGAAAATGCGTAAATTTTAAATAAGTAATAAAAATATAGCTCTAGCAGTATCAGGTTAGTAGGCTGTAGTCCCATAATGACGCTATTGCTATTGTTGGTTCGACAGGCTTTCTGAGAATTTGAAAAGCGCGGACGTGGAAAGATAAACGACAGACAGGATTTTTTCTGCTTTTACGGTTTTACCCTTGGTTTCTTTAATATTTATATATATTAAATATAAATGCTAATTGAGAAGTAAATTTATTCGCAAAAAATCTTTTTTTTTTAGATGTTAAAGATATCGTTCGTTGGCTAAGACCAGAAACCACCGGATATTCAGGAAAAGATCTTAATCGTGTTTTTAGTGGGCTCCGCTTCTTTAGATGGCATGTTTCTCTTTTTTATTTCTTTCCTTTTCTTGGAAAAATTTAATTTATTATATGTATTTTTTAAAATAATCAAGTTGGCATCCTGTATCTATTATGATATTATGATAAGGACTTTTTCAGTGGCGTCTTTTATTAATAAGGTCAATTTCTAAATTATCGATATAGTTAAAATCACATCAGATTAAGTAAATATGTAAAATAAATAAAGTCTGATATAGTAAAAATTGAGAGCTTTAAAGAGGCCGTAGACATTACATCAACTGAACCTCTATAAATAAATGTGTTATTATTTTCTACATTTATAATTCGTTGATTTGCACATAAATATCCCTTACAGCTAGTTAATTTGAGTTAACGAATTTTCAACGTCAACAAAGATGACTATCATTAATGTTAATTAACTTTGTAAAACTAAAGAAAACTCTCCATTCTAAGCATAATTTCTCATATAACTTGATTTACACTTGCCATACTTGATCCTCCAAAGTTAGGAGGTATTAGTCACTGCTAAAACTTCAACAGTGAATATTGATGAACACATTCTATAAAATTAAAAAAAGTAAAATGAAAAGAAGAAGAAAGAATAGTGGTGATCATTGCTTATGCACAAACACATATATTAAACAAAAGAAAAAATAAAAATAAAATACGAAAATGCATGAATATTTAGGTACGTTCATTTTACCGATTTAAATTTAGAATTCGAGTTTTGTTACAGTAAAAATTTTAAAAAATATTCACATCTAATTTTTTATTATAGTAAAAAATTATCACATAAAATCACATCTCAATTCGTATTAATAAGCTAAACGGATCATAAGACAGCTTAAGGGTAAAATTGTCACCACAAAAGCGAACACAGGGAGCAAATCTTTATGTGAATGACGACATGCTATTGGCCATTAAAAGGAAGGTATCACCGAATCCAAATAGTTAAAAGAAAACTCTCTTTGAAAAAAGATAATAATAGAATAATGAGTAAGTTGCAATATTGCACTTCAAACTATTCAGTATTTGCACATTACATCTTGAACTTTATAATTTTAACAAACTGACCCTTTAATTTTACAATTAGTTGCAATTGAGGTCAATTGTAGATAACGTTATCAAATTGATAGTTTTGAAAAATGATGATCTTTTTTTTTATGTACGAATCTCATATTTTAAATTGTTAATTTAATAACATTTATTAGACTATTATACCTTAATTTTAACTGATTCTAAAATTTAATGCGTAATTTATTAAAATTAAAAATTTGAGATGTATTATGCAGTAGTTTGGAATGCGACTTGTGTAATTTACCTTAAAATAAATATATACAGTGAGCAACGGAATACTTGCCGATGAAAAACCTCTTGGCTTATGCACCTTAAGCGAATGAAGCCTACGCGCCATTGTGATACTCCCAGTACGCTACTCTTCTATACGTGTCGGTTCCTAATAGCGAGTACAATAATACCCAGTAGTAAGAGATTTTTTGTTGAAGGACTAAATAAATCATATTTTAATTGTCAACGACAACGAATTAAGACAGGAGAGTCTAACAACTATTATTGTTTTTTCTTGAGAATAATTGTAGTGGGACCTGTATCCGTACAAGTTCCAACTAAACCTTGGACCTTGGAAAAGGTTTTTGTTAAGCTCACACACACAAGGAATATGGAAAAGAAGAAGATCAAAGAAAGGAATAAGGGCACAAGGGGAAAAGTGTAAAACAAAAGGAAGATTTAGAAAAATAAAATGTTTATTTTTTGTATTCGTCACTAATTTTAAATAATAATTTATAATTTTTTATAATTTTTTTTATAAAAAATTATAATTTTTTATAATATTAATTTTCTTATCGTTAGAGTCAGTTTTCTTTTCCGTACAAGTTCCAACTAAACCTTGGACCTTGGGAAAGGTTTTTGTTAAGCTCACACACACAAGGAATACGGAAAAGAAGAAGATCAAAGAAAGGAACAGGGGGAAAAGTGTAAAACAAAAGGAAGATTTGGAAAAATAAAATATTTATTTTTTATATTCGTTATTGATTTTAAATAATAATTTATAATTTTTTATAATTTTTATTTTTTATAAAAAATACACATAAAATAAAAATAATTTTAAATTTATGAATTAAATGTTCATTAAATGTCGATAGAATCAGAAGAAAATGAAGATAGAATAGAAAGAAAATGGAGAATTTGACTAGGGAAAAAAAGGAAAAGTCTGAGAAGTTACAAAAAAAAAAAGAAAATAACAATAAAAATGAAAATTAGACAAAAGTATCCGTGCAAAAAGAAGTCAGTCTCATCGAATTACAGAAAAGCCATTGAAGCAGATGACACGTGTTGAACCGTAGAAACTCCATCAATGTTCGCAGGAGCACGCGGTAAAAGCATATGGACGGTTCATTAATCAAATCCGCCAATTTATTTAATCTGCATAATTTAATCTAATCATATTAATTAAATTAAATTATAAAAATTTTGACTTAATTACATATTAAAATTTTTCTAATCTACAATAAAAAAATTAGATTGTAAATTGACCTTTAATTCGTGTAATTTGAACCCTAAACACCCTAACTAACATTTTCAAAGCCATCAGGGAAGTTTTTATTATTTTATTATTTTATTTTTGGAATGATATTTGGCTACGTTGAGAAAGGGAAGCTCGGCACAACTCCGCGTCAGATGACACACCTCAACTCAACGTCTGCAAACCTTTTGGAAATGCGGTCCCATTGCTTATATAATCAGGAAAATAAGCTTTTGGGATTCAAGCCAAAAAAAAAAAATTAAATAAAATATTTTGAGTGATTCTGAATTTTCATTTCTTAAATTAAAAATTTTTAATTAAATAATTATACTATTGAAAATAATATTAGTAAAAAATAAGAGAGAGAAATTTAGATTCATAAATTTTAAAAGTAAATTTAACAATTTTTTCAAACTTTTTCCACCCTTCACTTTTACTTATCTCTCTCCTCTCAAGTTTTATCCAACGCTTGCTTTTTCTTTTTTAAAGTTAATTATTTATCCTAAAAATAATATAAAAATTCTAAGAAAAAAAACGTAATTATTATTATTTTTTTAATGTTTAAGGATGTTTCGATGTCTCCCAAAAATTATCGTATGAAGTTATGTAATTATTACGTTCTCTTTCGACT